TAACTCTGATTGTATTTTACCTGACACTGAATTTGACAATTTACATGTCACACAATTTTCTACAAATCTTCGCACGTATTTTGACATTCCATCGAACCAGTATTGCTCGTAAATCTTATCTGGGGTTTTTTGCCACCCCAAGTGTATTATAGCTTCATGAACATGATTAACGACTGACCACCTGAATGCCCTGGGTACGACTGGCAAGCATCGTGCCCTGGGTACGACTGGCAAGCATCGTGTTTTCCCATTTCTTTGAATTTTACGATGCAGCAAACTATTTCTAATTTCATAAGAATTTTCTATTTCCTTCTGCATTTCATCACTATTTAAATCGGTCATTATTTGCGATATGTCTTGATCACGCTTCTGTTCGGATATAAGCCAGTTGTGGGTTATATTTGCCAAGTCAACTCGTACCTCCACTACCTTACTCAAACTTTCCTGCTCTACTATAGTGACGGGATTCCTAGACAAGCAGTCAACGTGAGCCATTTGGCTCCCCTTCTTGTATTCCACCTGGAATTCGTATGCTTGTAGAAATGACCACCAACGATGAACCCGCGGTGTCAATGCCGCTTTCTTTTGACTTGCTTTTACAGAATTACAATCCGTATATACTGGGGACTTTCTGCCGCTTAAATAATGTCGGAAATTTCTGATCGCGTTGTACACCGCTAATGTTTCGAGTTCATACGAGAGATATTTTGATTCAGGTATTGTCGTGCCTTTACTGTTGTACTCAATTACACGGCGCTGACCATCTACCATGTGTAATAGCATAGCGCCATACCCATTGGCGCTAGCATCCGTATGCAGCTCTATTGGTAAGTTGGGATCGAATATGGTCAACACGGGGTCACTAGTTAGCACCTTTATAATCTTTTTACGAATTTCCTCATGCTTTTCTTTCCAGTCAAATTCGTTCATCTTTGATGTTAGCAAATATAGAGGCTTCATTACTTCTGAGAAATGAGGGACAAATTTCCTAAAGTAAGATGGTAAACCTATGAACTTTCTAGTTTGTGTGACTGAAACTGGTTTTGGCATTTGGGTTAGTGCTTGTATTTTTCGGGAATTGGGTTTTAGCTCACCATCTCTTATAAGAAAAACTAAGTACTCTATCTCTGTTTGAAGAAATTTGCACTTTCTAATGTTAAAGGAAAAGCCTGACTTTGATAATACGCTTAGTACTGTTTCTAATCTGTCAAATGCTTCCTCTATAGTACTAGAAACAATTAATACGTCATCAATGTAGACTACTGCGTATTTATTAACCAAGCTCGAACTATGGCACGTTGAAAGACAGAAGAAGCGTTTTTGAGGCCGAAGGGCATGGCTAAAAATTCATATTGACCCTCTGGGGTCACGAATGCAGTTCGCTCGACCGAATCGGGGTGAATTGGCACCTGATAGAAGCCGCTGGCCATGTCTAGAATAGAGAAATATTTACCGCCTCGCAGGCGATCTATTTGGTCTGATATTAATGGCAAGGGGTATCTATCTGACACAGTATTTGCGTTGAGTTCTCGATAATCTATGCATAGTCTATCACTGCCGTCCTTCTTTTTTACTAGTAACATTGGACTAGAGAAAGGGGAGCTACTTGGTCGAATTACGTTGGATTCTAGCATTTGCTGAATCTTCTCTCTCACTATTTCTTTCTCACCCTCGCTAAGACGATATGGTCGTCTCTGTACCGTTTTGTTTACGTCTACTAAACGTCTACTTACGTATACTAGTTACGTTAACCTAAGGAACCTGTAGTTAATCGTCTGTTTGGAATGCCATCAACAAGAAATTTGGAATATTTGGCCAATATGTCGTTTAATATTAACTTATCACTATTACTTAACTCCACATTAACATTACATCATTGTTTACAGATAATACGGTTTGAGTTCTGTAGATATCGAATCTATCTCTTTCTAAAGTTACTCCAAAACCAAGCTCAAAAATGTCTTGTCCAATTATCATATCATATTTAAGGCACTTATTATCTACTACGTGAAATAACAATTCAAAATTAAATCTAGAGACTTGTATGGTGGACAGAATTTGCATATTGCTCTTGACAACGTTGTCGCCTATGCCTTTCAAAACAACCATGTTATGGATTCTTTTACCAGCCAGCTTCGCGCCGACTGTTTCTTTTACCAAAGAGCATTCTGATCCCGAATCAAAGAAAAATGGAAACTTCTCACCAAATTGAATTGCTGTCCCGTTAGGCTGATGTACTGCGCACATGTCTACTCTTCTTTAGGTGCTGCTTCGGCTCGCTGTTGCTGTTCCCCTCGTATACACTGATGCGATGTGTCCAACGCCGCCACACTTGAAACAAGTTACTGTTGATCTCTCTCTCACCGTTGTTCTGTTATTGCTATGTCCTGGTCTAGTCTCGTTTCGCTCGTCTGTTCTCCTCTTGCAACATTCCATTGCCTTATGTCCAAGTTTCCCGCAATTATGGCATCTAATCGGCGTCTGGATTTTGAACCTCTTCTTTTCGGGTCCCTCTGATCCAGAAAATTATACATTTCTGCTGAACGTGTGCGCCTTGAGTTGTTGTTGCAGTTCAGCACGCGTTTTTATGTTTGTGTTGAACGCTACACGCTGCAGTCTAGGGTCAATTTGGGATGCATGAGCCAAGACTAGGGATATAGCAATCTCCTCATGGGTCATTGATTTCCACTTGGTCAATAATGATGTAATTAGTCGACTGGAATACACCGAGAGGCATTCATTTGCATTGGGACGACCCTTGAGCATGTTGAGCAATACTGCCGCCGGCATCTCGTTGCCTTCGTAGCGTTCCATGAACAATTCTCGGAATTGCGACCAGCTCACTCCAGGAAATCAAATTTGCGACAGCCACTGCGATGCACTACCGAGCAGCGTTTTGCTTAGCGTCATCACCAAGGATGCACCTTCTTGTGGATGTTCACTTAGAATCATATCCGCCGCACCATGCTGCCGCGTCGGCTTTTGCAGCTTCGGGGTTGAATGTCGGTAACATCGCGGATGCGGCGCGCGTGTCAGGCTGCGGCGTTGCTTTTAGTAGTTCAGTTATCACTCTATTTTGTGATTCTAATAGCCTGCGCCAGCTATTTTCCGAGTTATCTTGTAGGGGCGGTGATCCCACTTCTGATGTCCGGAAATGGCCATCGTTTTCCTCTGTCATCTCGTATTTTTCAACGCGAGTCGCAATGATCTTTTGCACGTCCGTTCACTTCAGAGGGCTATTCTTTATTGCCTTCCCTCTCCTCTTCCTCCTTTCCATCATTGCGCCACGCTCAACAGGGCTTTACTCTCTTTCCCCACCGCGCTCTCATTCACAAAGCTTGTCTCTCTTTATTTGCAATGCTTATTTATTTCCTCTTAGACTATACTCTTAACTAATAATTAATCAGTAAATATGGTATTTGAAATTAAACCTAACTTATCTCCGACAAATTTATCTTATTAATTGTTTATGCTTTGTTGGACTTCTCTGTCTAAGCCATTGACCTAAAGGCCTCAGCTTACCGACAGCATTTTTATGTAACGAGCCGTAGTAGATTTAAATCGTCATTAAACTTAGAAGGATTTTCAAATGGTAGGGCTTGGTCATTATACGTAGCTTCAAGAAGCTTTCGTTAATTGTTGCAAATTGTTCTGCAGTAAAAAAAAACAGCAGAAAGGGTCGGGGTCTTTAAATCTTTTTAATTAGCCCAAGTAAGCTTCCGAAGGTCGAATTATTCTGGCTTTTCGTAGCCGATTGCTTCTGATTCCATTTCTTCGTCAGATGGGGACTGCTATTTTATGGGGACTGCTATTTAGGATAGTTGGTATCGATATATCTAGACTATACCTTTGATTTATTGATATTGAATTCGATGTCTGTCTGATTGTAAAAATGGATACTTGAGACCAAAGATCCCGATCTTATTGGTTGCTATGGTTATCTATTAATAAAGGATGCTACTTGTATTTTTGTGTATTTATGATAGTTGTATTGCTGAATTACAAAAAACTCTTATGTGAAAAATTGGATTGATCCGTAAGTGTTGAATCAAAGGTTATAAAGTATATGTACATAGATGGGACATTTCATATGGCGGGTGCGGGTTCCAGCGCTGGAACCCGCTGGAACAAACGGGTGGAGGGTAGCCTAGATGGAAAGCGCGCGTCCCTTATCAATGGGATTCTGCGTTCGATTTCATTATTGGGCGGTTGTTTCAATTTTTAGAAAGTTCTAGTTTTATGTTTATTTTTATATTTACTTTTTATGTTTTTTATATTTTTGTTTTTATACTTGTATTTTTATACCCTTGCAGAGGGTATTATAATTTTGGTCAAAAGTGTGCAACGCATAAGAAGGAGACATCTCCGACCCTATAAAGTCTTGATCAGGATCTTCTCCTGAGTTGATATGAGCATGTCCGTCTGTCCGTCTGTCTGTTTCTACGCAAACTAGTCTCTCAGTTTTAAAGCTATCGACATAACTGATTGATCGGAAATGACCCAACTTACGTGTTTTTGAAGATAGAAAGCTGGAACTTGGTAAAGATACTATTTTTGGTCAGTTGATCCAACCTACCCAACCTAATACTACATATTTGTTCTACTAACTACCACCCATTAAAAACAAAAACAAGAAATTGAAATTAAAATTTGGAAGCCAAAACATTTTTAAGACGTCGTGCGCCGTCGTCACTTGCATGTGGCGTTTTTTTTCGAAATTCGAGTAAAAGATTAACAATAAAATATATTTATTGAATTTCAAATTTATTTTTACCCCTGTCTTAAGAATTTAATTTTCATGAAATTGCATTTAATAAGTCAATTTTTTTCACCAATAATTCCTAAATATTAATAACAAGCAAAAAATTAAATTTTGACAAAATAGCGACAGAGTAACCACCCGTGGTTTTGATTAGAAAATTTATGAATATTAATTTATCTGTTTAAAATTATATCAGATATATGCTCTGAGGTAGTATTTTTAAATTAATTGGTTTTGCTTGTCGTATAACCTTGAAGGGGAATTAGAGGAATTGGACCGTATTGGAGGACTGATATATGGCAGCTATAGGATATAGTAGACCGATACCGGCCGTTCCGTATTATATACTGCGTGCAAAGGAAAGAAAGGTGTCGACGGTCAAAAACATTGTTATCGATAGTTAAGTCAGTATTATTAGGAGATGTAGTATTTTAAGTTATCGGAAGTACGGGCTTATCAATCGCGGTTATGTGAATGCCGCCAAAAGGTGCCATTCATTGTTTTGTTGATTGTAGGAGGGCACACTGCGGTAAGAAGAGGAATTAATATTTGAATTGTAAACTAATGTATGAATTTATAGAATAAAACGTTCCGTTAGCCACAGCCAAGGCCTTTGAAGTACCCCTTTCTTCGGACCTACGCGTGTGGGGAGCCGTTTAAGGCAACTCCACATGACACAAAACAACAGCTTTTATTCGCAGTCCTAGGGAGACTGCAAGGGCAACTTGCGCTGGAGGACGGCTTGACGACCAGCTAGAGAGTTGCCAGGAGCGCACGGAGCGCAGTTCCCGTACCAGCAGAGGAGTCGCAGCCAGCGACATAGACGGCGCAGCCAGCGCCAAACCACTGAGTACGGACGGAGTCGCAGCCAGCGACACGGAGACGCAGCCAGCGTCAGTTCTGGAGACGCAGCCGGCGTCAGTTCAGGAGACGCAGCCAGCGTCAGGATAGGAAGCGCAAGGAGCGCCAAGCACCAGCGGGCAGGAGGCGCAAGGAGCGCCAAGCATCAGCGGCAGCAGCCAGACGGCACAGGTCCGCCATTTTTGGAGCGCTAGGGCAGCGCCATTTTGGAGCGCTAGGGCAGCACCATATTTGAGCACTTGGAGATGCAGCACTCCCCCAGGAGGAGTTCCCGGCTGAACGGAGGGGAAGCCACACCTACAACGCGAGCGGATCAGCAGCCAGCGAGTAGTGCAGCAGAAAACCGGCCGCGGGTGAACATAACCACGGCGGCGGCCATTTCTCGCCCAGCCACTACAGCGACTACAGTAGCGTCCCAACCAAAGAGCACTGTAACAGCAGCTGCGAGTTCAGAGCCGGAGGTGAGCCAGCCACTCACGGCGTACCTATTGGAGAGGATTACGGCGTTGGAGAACGAGCTGAAGAAGGTCAAAGCCATGGACGCAGCAAACACCGCCAATTGCGCGCCAATCGCAGTTGGCCCAAGCGCAAATGGCGCCAACAGTGGAGCGTCGGAGCGGCCGCCATCGTGGAGCGGACCGCCATTAACCGCCACATCGAACGGTGAGGCACCAACTAACGGGGTCGGGCCGGACCCATATAGCAGTTTCGGTGCGACCAGTGGGACCTACACGCTGCCGCCATCTTGGAGTGGACCACCGTTGCTAACGACTAGCACTGTGTGCTACAAGTGTTGCGCAGACAGCGCATGGATGCGCGCTACCGGGCGGGAGCATCCACAACGTAGCAACTGCATCACCATTTGTTGGATCCTACGCCTGGATGACGCCGAATGGAACCCAAGCTAATGGACCAAGGAGGCTCCCGGACTTGCCTACATTTGGAGGGCAGCCCGAGGATTGGCCCATCTTTAATTGTGCGTTTGTGGAGACGACCCAAGCGTACAACTGCACGGACCTGGAGAACAACCAGAGGCTGTTGAAGGCGCTGAAGGATGAAGCACGCGAGACAGTGAAGTCGCTGCTGATTCACCCTGCGAACGTCAGAGCCGTGATGGAGCAGCTGCGCTTTAGGTTTGGCCGACCGGAGCAGCTAATACGCAGCCAGCTGAACAGCGTGCGAGAGGTGCAGCCGATTTCGGAGCAGCAACTGGAGAGGATCGTCCCCTTCGCAACCAGAGTGAGTAACCTCACGGCCTTCTTGCAGTCGGCGAAGGCGGAGCAACATCTGGGAAACCCCACACTCATGGAGGAGCTTGTGGCAAAGCTTCCCACCAGCAAACGAGTGGATTGGGCCAGGAACGCTGCATCGATCCAACCCTTTCCCACTGTAGCGCACTTCAGCGCGTGGCTACAGGAGTACGCGAACATCGTGTGTACGATTTTGGACGTCGATGGAAAGGAGCCGAGGCGTCGAGTTCTACACGCGAGCGTCGACCAGAACGGATACGAGCAGCGGGATGACCGGCATGGAGGTTGTCCAATTTGTGAAGGTCAACATGCTACGACGAGTTGCAGCGAATTCATTGGAGCTTCGCCACCGGGCAGATGGAGCATGGTGAAGAGGCATCGGCTCTGCTTCACATGCTTACGGAGTGGGCATGCGGCCAGATCCTGCGATGTGCATGGCGAGTGCCAGATCAACGGATGCCGCAGATTGCATCACCGTCTGCTACATGAAGAGGACGAAGGGCGAAGACGGCCGGAGCAGCGAGGTGGTTTCAGGCGCCACAACGGAGGGAACCAGATGTCACCAGTTTCCAGACGCAGCCCGGACAGGAGGTCTTCGCCACGAGGTGGTTACAGGGACCACGAGAGGACCCAGGAGTCGGCTGTCCGCAGGAACAGCCAGGAGAGAAGGGCCCCGCAGCCAGCGGAGGCGCCCATGCAGAGGAACTTGAGTATTGACGTCAAAGGAGGCCGACTTTTGTTCCGTATACTGCCAGTAACGCTGTACGGAGCTGGTCGCCAGGTGGACACATACGCGCTATTAGATGAAGGATCCTCCGTCACGATGATCGACGATGAGCTACGGAGGGATCTGGGAGTGCAAGGCGAACGTCGACAACTGAACATCCAATGGTTTGGAGGAAGAGCAAGCAGGGAGCCTACCAACGTGGTGAGCCTGGAGATCAGTGGAGCTGGGAAGCCCACTCGTCACCCGTTGAGGAACGTGTACGCCGTTTCGAGCCTGAGTCTGCCGATGCAGACGTTATGTCGACGAGATGTCCAGGGCGTTCATAAGGATTCGCGACTGCCGATGAAACCCTACAGCAACGTGGTGCCGAAGTTGCTCATCGGACTGGACCATGGACATTTGGGATTGCCACTTAGGACGAGACGGTTTGCCAGAGAGGGACCGTTCGCGGCCGCAACCGAGCTTGGATGGGTTGTGTTTGGGCCAGTAAGTGGACAATCAACTACGCCGTCACCGAGGTCCTGCCTTCTAGCCGTGTCAGTGGAGGACACGATGGAAAAGATGGTGGAGGACTACGTCGAGATGGAAGGCTTTGGTGTGAAGCTCGCGCAACCGGTCGCAGCCAGCGACGACGCGCGGGCCCAAAGGATCCTCGACGACACCACGGTGAAAGTGGGGCGTCGCGACCAGACGGGTTTGCTCTGGAAGGATGACCACGCTGTGCTGCCACGGAGCTACGAGATGGCACACAGACGGCTGATCAACGTCGAGAAGTTGAAGCGCAACGGGCCGTTGGCGCTAGGATACGATCGGATCATCAAGGACGTGTCCAAAGGATATGCGAGGAAATTGCAGCCGGATGAGGTCGCGCTGAAGAGCGACAAGCTATGGAATTTGCCACAATTCGGTGTCGAAACCCCGAACAAGCCCGGTGAGGTCCGGCTTGTGTTTAATGCTGCAGCCAAGGTTGGAGATCGATGTTCCCAACGATTCCTTTGGAGAGATGGTAACGACGATCGAGACCCGGATGTGTACGAGGTGGGCAAGAACTTCGTGGGAGCCGACAGGGACGCCAGACGATTTGGAGACGCGTTCGAGACGGAGAGGATACAGAGGCGGAGTATGGGAGCAGATGGTGCATTGCGTCAAGCGAGTGCTGCGCCATACCCTGGAAGAAGTCGCGCCGAGGGACCATGTAGAGTCCCACCATGGAGCACCTGCCTACGCTTGTGCGCCGCGAGAAGTGGTGCCAGGGAACGGAGCCCATCCGCCAGGGCGATATGGTCTTCGTCTGCGATCCTGCCTTGCCCAGACGAGAGTGGCGCAAGGGCATCGTGGAGGAGGTCTACAGCGGAGCCGATGGAGATGGATGGAGCTAATGGACTATCTTGGACAATGTTGCGGCCCGTCTCTAAACTTGGAGTTTGGATTTGAGTGAAGCGGGTCTTCACGGGGTCGGGGATGTCGACGGTCAAAAACATTGTTATCGATAGTTAAGTCAGTATTATTAGGAGATGTAGTATTTTAAGTTATCGGAAGTACGGGCTTATCAATCGCGGTTATGTGAATGCCGCCAAAAGGTGCCATTCATTGTTTTGTTGATTGTAGGAGGGCACACTGCGGTAAGAAGAGGAATTAATATTTGAATTGTAAACTAATGTATGAATTTATAGAATAAAACGTTCCGTTAGCCACAGCCAAGGCCTTTGAAGTACCCCTTTCTTCGGACCTACGCGTGTGGGGAGCCGTTTAAGGCAACTCCACAGACACAAAACAACAAAAGGTGTGTGCAAAGTTACAAGACGATAGCTTTAAAACTAAGAGACTAGTTTGCGTAGAAACAGACAGTCGGACAGACGGACATGCTTATATCAACTTAGGAGGTAATCTTGATCAAGAATATATATCCTTTATAGGTTCGGAGATGTCTCCATCACTGCGTTGCACACTTTTGACCAAAATTATAATACCCTCTGCAATAAATAGAGGTTATTTATATAATATTTAAGTATAAAGTATTTAAGTATAAATATTATATCTGCTATTATAAACACAATAGAAGAAGTAAAACTAAAAATAATAAATATCGGCAGGGCTCTATTCCAGGGTCATTCTGGTGCCCGAACTCTGCCGCACATACATAATACACTTATGGACAAAATAATAGGTGTGCATTTTTTTTTTTGAGGCTATCGATTTTAATCGATATAAACATAGCATATTATGGGAAAACTATACTTTTTTATTATGGTCACAATGTTACGATCAATTTTTGGTGAATTCCCGGAAGTCAGAAGCTCTCTGAAGAAAATTATGGATATTTTATTGCTCAGACTGCAAATTCGCCTGGACAATAAAATAGGTGTGTCGAGCAAAACTTTAATCTAAAGCTAATTAGGATAATTGTTTGGTTGCAGAAGGTAAGGTATTACGATAATTTAACTAAATGGGGACTTAACAATCACTAAAATTGCATTAGATGGGCCGTGGGAGACATTGCAGTGCGGAAGAGAGGAAGCTCATTCGACGACTCCGAGATGAAGGAAAAACATATAAATCGATTGCTGTTTTAATGAAACGATCTCAGAATTTTGTAACCAATGCGTTAAAATCGAAAAAAGTAGGTGAAACTCGGGGAGCACCCAGAAAAACATCATCTAGGGACGATAATCGCATGGTTAGGTTGGTTAAACGAGACCCGTTCAAGTTTTCCAGGACGATTTCCAACGAAATTGGAAATATTGTGCCGAACGGTCCGGCGAAGTTTGACAATGGCAAACCTACCAGGTAGGATTGCCCGCAAAGTTCCTTTGCTTCGGCCGAAAAATAAAAAGATGAGGAAACAATTTGCTCTAGATCGTAAAGCCTGGTCAGGACCGGAGGGTGAGAAAAAATGGCATAACATTCTCTAGAGTGACGAAACCAAAATAAATTTATTTGGAAATGATGCTAAAAGGAATGTTCACCGTCCGAAAGGCAAAGAATTTGATCCCAAGTACACCTGTAAGACTGTAAAACATGGAGGTGGTAGCCTAATGGTATGGGGCTGCTTTTCATGGAATGGTGTTAATCCGATTCATCGCATTGATGGAATAATGGACAGATTCGTATACAGAGACTTATTGGAGACAGTGATGCTGCCATATGCTGAGGATAATATGCCAATTTTATGGAAGTTCCAGCAGGATTACGACCCAAATCACGCCTCTCTACTAGTCAGGGAGTGGTTTCGTGAGCAAAATGTGGATGTTCTTGAATGGCCGAGTCAATCCCCTGACCTTAGTCCTATCGAAAATCTCTGGGGTGAACTCAAAAGAGAGGTAGGAAAGTCTTCTTGTGAAAACAAAAACCAACTTTGGGATATTGTCCAAAAAGCATGGTACTCCATCCCAATTGGAACTTGTCGCAAGCTGATATCATCCATGCCAAGACGAATGGAGAAAGTTCTCAAAAATAATGGCGAGTATACCGGCTACTAACTGCTACATACTCAACTTAATGTACAAAAAGATCAAAAATAGTGAAATATCCATTTAGTTTAAACGTTTAGTTCCTTACACCTATTATTGTGTCCAGCCAAAAATGTCCAACTTAGGAAAAAATCTACTTCTGTTGTTAACGAAAAGGTTTATAGTATTGTTTTTTTTTCTTTTTAAGACAATTAATATAAGTTTTAAAAAAAAACTTTGTTTTGAGCTGATTGGAGAAAGCACGACTTAGAAATAAAAAAGTTAAAAATGAAAAAAAAACACACCTATTATTTTGTCCATAAGTTAGTTAATAATTAAGTATAAATGTATAAAACGTCACTAGCTACTGCTTTCTGTTATTCGTTACTGTATAAAGTACATAGATGGGACATCTCATACAAAGAAAAATTTTCTATGGCGGGTTCCAGCAGTGGAACCCGCTGGAACGAGCGGCTCCTTTAACACCAATTTTAAGTATCATAAAATCAACTTCGAGGGTAGCGTAGATGAATAGTGCGTGGTCCTTATTCATGGGGTCCTGGGTTAGATTACATCAGCGGCGGATTTTCCAATTTTGATTAAGTTTTAGTTTTATGATTCTTTTTATATATACTTTAAAATACTATTTGTTCTACCAACTACCACATCGGCGCATCGAAAACAGAAACGGGAAATTGAAATTGAAATTGAAATTTAGAAGCCAAAACATTTTTTCTCCGTCGTGCGAGCAGTCACACATACATACAAAGGCATACATTTTTGTTGACGGATAAATGTAAAGAGTTCTAAAAATAGAATTGTATGTATGTGCGTTCCCCCCTCACCAACAAGCTCGACGAAAAAAGTTGACCGTTTTGGGCCCTGATGTCCCATCTATGTACTTTATAATCTTTGCTTATACTAATGTATTAAAATTATATAAATGTATCGAGTGCTGAAAACTGTAACCGATTTAAATCAAGCTTCGATTGGAGATAGATTCTGCCCTTGAGATTCTGCAGCTTTTGATGTGTCGCTTATATCTAGGATAACTCTCAAACCTAAGATTTAGTCCAGTGTGTGGCAAACTCTCATTTTCCATAGCACGCGTGCATAGGGTAGGAAATTCTGCGCAGCGCTGCCGGCACACTGACAGTGTTAGCACTTTCAAATTTTTTAGAAGCCCCCTCATTTGCTCTCATTTTGACTCATTTGACAGCCCAAACTTAAAAATCAAAATGTTTCCACTGAGAAAAATTTGTTCAGAAATTGGGTTGGAAAAAGTTTTTTTCATGGAGAATATAGATAGGGAAGCGTAGTTTTTCATTTGTCTAAGAATTGTTGCTAGCAAAGCTTTTTTTTTAAATAACATACACAATTTTAGTGCCCATTCCAACTTTTGAATTAACGAAAAATGAAATAAAAAACTACGTTTCTTTCGCTCAATGAATGCTCTTATAGTTTTTCACTGCTACGGATACACTCAAATTTTAAACATGTGTGCTCCATAAGTGGAGCTACGTACACATGTAAATACAAGGGGAGGAAAAACTAAGTACAACTTCAAAATTTGAATTTAAATGCTCAAGACTTATAGTTGGTAACGACTTTTTTTTTCTAAGAATATATTTTCAATTCATTACAAAATGGCATTTTTTTTTTTAATTCTAAAAGAACCCATATAATCTATTTAGAATCTGGTGTGATTCGAACTTGATCACCTTTCATCATCAGAATTGATTGACAAGTATCATTTTGGATTGCTGAAAAATGAAAAAAACATCGGCCGATAAATTGTTACTATGACTAATCAAGATTTATCAATGCGTGCTGATTCTTGAAGAGTTAAAATAAGTCAATCAGTTGCGGTAAGCGTTCGACAATTAAAAAAAGTCGAAGTCAAAGCATATAAGTGGTCATCCTTGCTTTTAATGACTCTGATTCTAGTCTTATGATGCTGAAAATGAGGAAATGACCAATAAAATGTGAGTCATTGATCAGCCAGAGGGGCTCAATAAAAAAATTTCGACAAGGCTATTTTATTTCTATAAAGACGAAGATAAGAAGAACCATCGAGGGTTCGGCTCAAGTTTGCACGGGAGCATTAAAATTTAATAATAGAAAGGGTCCAAAAAATTGGAGTGGGAAAGCTGTATTTGTTCCACGAACCCAAATTTAATCGAATCGAACATAGTAAGAGCTGGCGCAGACCAGAAAAAGTCTTAAAATGTAATGTAAAAACTTAATTAAATTGAATGGTTTAGGGGAGTTTTAACTCATACTCACGCTCAACGTGCCGGTTGCCTTTATGTTAATGGTTGATGAAATTCCGTTGCATACAGCCAGAAGTTCCATTTGGTCCCTTATGCAAAGATCCATTGGTTAGATTGGTGGGTTTTCAACCATATCATGCTGGATTCCATTGGATTGTTCTGACATTTTGTTCCAATTTTGATATTGAATAGTGGGAACTCGCATCGACTTTTAACAGATTTTCTGTCCAACTTTAACAGTTATGCATTGATTAAAATCGTTTTCATCAAGCCCTATAACGCGATCTCTGTGAGCGCTGACGACAATTATTGGTGTTTGAAGATTGTATAAGGTTTAACCTTTTCAATCCCAAATTGGAAAGGGAACGCTGCTGAAGACGTCTAATAATTCTGAAGACATCAAGGAATTGTTATCCAAAAGATAACGTGACTGTTTGTTGTGCTGCCTTGATACAGATGAAGAACGTCAGTAGTGGCAACTGGAAAAATCTGATCGGGGAGCAAATGATCCAGAATTTAGTCGAGTGGCTCTCGTAATTTAACAATTGTGGTACCAAAATTGGACTATTGCTTTTATGGCGATAATCAGTCCAAGTAGACTCATTTAAGCTGTGAGGATCACAAATTATTCGTTGTTCCAACGATCTCAGGCGATTGCTTGTAGCTATGCTTCCCTTTCTCTCCACGTTATTGGTAGAGTCAACCAAGGAAGCAATGAAATCATCGTTGCTTTTTACCTATGCTATTGTTTTGAACATATCTTCTGCGTATGTGAAATCAAGTACGCAAGCAAATTATTGGCCACAGTTCCAATGATATTCAACGATGATCGTCGTTGTCGGGAGTGATGCATTAAGTTATTTTCTGAATCAAGCTCCCCGTACAGATGGTTATAATGGTCTAAAATTGATCTGCAAGATTCCTATGTCTTTCAATCCTTGACACTTGTTACAGTTCAGTCAATCCATCCGAGTGTACCTTCATGTCCTTCCAATATGGGTCTAGGTCTTAGTAGACTATCATTGTTCTCTCATGCAAGAATAGAGGACCTTAGAACCAAATATTATTATGTTATAACTTGTTGGCGATAGTTCCTCTGGACAATACATCAGCTTTATTATTACCGGATTATTAGATTATTACTCTAGTTCATGCCAGTCTGGTCGTTCATGAGACAGACTAAGAATGCATTTAAAGAGGTGATGACTAGTTTTCGTAAAATCAATGATCAGCTCTGTGCGCTTGACACTCACTTTATCGGTCTTCTGCTGCTAAATGAGCCCCCTACGCGTAAGAAATCCGTTGTTTGTGAACCGCCTCAGCCTGCTCAGTAGACATTAAAGCAGCCGCTCAAATCTCTGGCCACCCCCAGGGCTAGAACTGAGAACAATTTGCCGTCCGAATTTCTCAGGGAAAAGGAGCAATTATATTGTATATATCCTCCGTGGTATCCCTTCAAGTGATGCCACAGGTCCTAATGAACAAAACCCCCGTTGGAGTCACCACAGTATTCCACAGTCCGGACCACCGGTTCTGGCTGATGCTGCAGTTTTCTTAGTTTCTGCAGGCTGATGCTGCAGTTTGTTCTTAATTCGGTAGACTGCCAGCTTGCTTCTGAAGAGGTTAAACCAAAACAGTTTGTTGACATACAATTTATTTGCATTAAGATCATTTTGTCCACTAAATCTAAAACATGTTCATATATACCGCCTTCGTCTGAACCGCTCATATACTGGCATCATTTGTCCGCTATTCGATCCGTTTTTAAACTTATGATCGATCGTGACCAGCTTGTAGCTCTGAATGACTTTAATATCCCAGAATTAAAGTGGTCCAATGTCGATAACTCAACATCGTGAAAATACATATACAAAACATTTTAAATGTAAATGTAAAATATAAATATAAATATAATATAACAAATAATATAATTTCTTTCGTCATTTCACCCAATAACGGATACCCGAATTTCCTTAGGAGAAAAAGCCTGGAAAGTTAGAAATATCAAAAAATGTGTGCACTGGCTTCGAAACGAAAACGCACGCATACATGCACCCGTGTAAGTGAATGTGTGACACGGATACATACAAAGATTAATCGAAGCGCAGACCAACATTCTTCATGGTGCTCATTCTTTCAGTTTAGAGACTGAAAAACAGAAAAAATTCAATGAAAATATGAGCGTAAGATGAACGAAAGATGAGCATAAGAAAGAGAGCAAGATCACTCCCTAGCGCCTGTCGCAAGAAGTGCTCGAAACTTTGCTGCCTGTCCGTTATCGGCTTGAACTGCTATATTTCCTGTGACAAAAAGGTTGACATTTTTAGGTTTGTAATTGGTGTTCGATGGTTTGTAATTTATAGATGAAACAATTTCTTCCTTTGCATTCCGTCGATTTGATGTCGGTTTTAAAACAATTGACGTACTTTTTTAGTTTTTTTTCCAAATTAGTCTTTCTGTTATAGAGGGCAACTCATGACATTTATATAACAAGTGAGTTGTCTTTTTACAAAAATAGCACGATGCTTGCCTGCCGGATGAAGGCGGAACCTTTCCCGAGCCTAAGAAACTGATTCTTAGCTCTGTCTGCTGGGCTTCAACTGAGTTTCCAATTCTTTGTTCAAATAGGCTTAGCCCCAAGGTTATATCGAGCATGTCAGTAAGCAAGACAACCACGAACGCATCCCAAGTGGATACGTTGATGCCAAGTCCCTTCAATGATGTCATGGTTTCTAGGGTGGTTATATATAGCTCGTGTAATTATTTGGCACTGTCAGACTGGGCTCTGATAAAGTAGTCGACGGACTTGAGGTACCACATTTTTTTCACTGCTGGCATGTTAGTTTCATGGACCAGATAGGTATGCCTGATTGTTCATGAACAGATAGGTATGCCTGGTATGCCTCTTACAGACTCTTCTAGTTCTTCTTGTCGACGACGTAACCCTGCTAATATTTTATCCATGTAGATAAAGGTGCGGGATTGCTCCTGGCACTGATCTTCGATGTGACCTGATCTTTAGTCTTCCTTAGGAATCGTGCTTTGCATTAGATTTTTACGAGCACCTTAGAGCTCTTGAATTTAACATAAATTATCACGAATAGTTCTTCTTGTCGACGACGTAACCCGGCTAATAGTTTATCCATGTGGATAAAGGTGCGGGATTGCTTCTGACACTTATCTTCTAGTTCTTCTAGAAGACCTGATCTTTAGCGTCTTTCTTAGAATTACACGGCCGTCGAAGGTTTTCCGGAGGTCCTCAACAAATCAACTTCGTTCAGTTATAAGGCAGCTATAGAATATAGTCGGCCGTTCCTTATGAAATTTGGTTGGGGTGTATTGTTTTGCCAAATATTCTTGATATTCTTGATCAGGATCACCTCCTGAGTTGATACAAGCATGTCCGTGTGTCTGTCTGATGCTACGCGAACTAGTCTCTCAGTTTGAAAGCTATCGCCTTCAAAATTTGCACATGCTCATTTTTCCTTTTCACGCAGTATATACTTTGGTATTTTTGAAGATAGAAGCTTGGGTCTTTTTGTTTTTTAGTTTTTATGGGTTTTTTTTATGAAATTCTCAAACGGTAAATGCACTAAATAAAAAGACGAATTTTTTAATTTTGAACGTTATAAAAAATGTTTATTCCTGCATGCAGATGAAGCCGGATGATCCGCAGATAGACCAGCTTATGGTGCATGCAGGGACGAAAGTAATATACACAGAGAGGGCGGCCCGACAAGTCACCTCGAGCTAAAGCTCTCGAAAGTGGAGAGGGCGGCCCGACCTAGACATCGCCGAGCTAAAACTCTCCAAAGAAAGTCCGTTGAGTCGAGCGGCCGAGAGAGAGTCGGCTTGCGATCAACTAGCTTTTGTATAAACTTAAGCCTAATAAATAAACATTACCAAACATTACGTTAACATATTTAAACATTAAAATTACACCGGTGGGCTGCTGCCTGACCCGACAGGTATTTTAGATGGGCCGAAGTTATTATTATTTAGTTATTACCAATTGGACGAATTGTTTGTACCGTTTTTTTTTGTAATTAAAATAAAATCACTTTAAATACGTATGTCAACAAAATTTAGGTTTTTTTTAACTTTGTCATTTCGATAGGTCACACAATAATATGTGTGATGATGTTGCTGGCGATGTACGGACGACACAAACAGCACGAAAGGAGCGCAAGAAGCATGACAGATTCAACGGTATGTCTGAGGAGGAAGTAATTAAAAGGACTATTCCAGACCATCTGTGTGATAATCTTGATATCGTTATAGTGAGTTGTAAATTTCGTGTAGATTCTTAATCGCTTTATAATCATCCAGTAGCTATAAGCGTATAAAAAAAAAATAAACTGCTTAAATTTTTAAGGTTGGAATCAATCCTGGACTATTTGCTGCATATAAGGGCCACCATTATGCTGGTCCGGGGAATCACTTTTGGAAGTGCCTTTACTTGGCAGGACTTACTCAAGAGCAGATGAACGCGGATGAGGATCACAAGCTCCTTAGACATGGAATCGGTTTTACCAATATGGTAGCTCGTGCCACCAAAGGGTCTGCCGATTTGACCAGAAAAGAAATAAAAGAAGGAAGTCGCATTCTCCTGGAAAAATTACAAAGGTTTCGACCAAAAGTAGCAGTTTTCAATGGAAAGTTGATATTTGAAGTATTTTCGGGAAAAAAAGAGTTTCACTTCGGTCGTCAACCAGGTCGAGTCGATGGTACTGACACAGTAAGTATTGCTTTACCACCAAAATTTTTAACAGCTTTAATATCATTTAATTTCTGTTTAATGAATTAAGACAAGTAGAGTATATAATTAAAGTCCAAAGCTCTATAGTTTTGGGTCGCTTGTAACGTTCTTTTTTCGTCACAAGTTTCCCAAATTGACCAACATTAGTAGTTGTGGGATTAAATCGGATGATCTGTAACTGCAAAACAATTTTTTCTAAATTCCCTTTCAAGGAAAGCTGATTTTTCAGATATTTATTATATAAATCAAAAAGATTTTCAAACAAGAAAGCAAAGCTAACTTCGGGCGGAGCCGAAGTTGATATACCCTTGCAGCTAAAACCGGATATATATTGCAAACATCGGATATAGTTGGCCAATCCTTATGATTACATCATAATAAAACCAATCAATTACAATAAAAAATCGAAAAAAAAGTCCCAAGCTTCTATCTTCAAAAATACAAAAGTTGATATTTCTACCAAATACCATTTCCGATCGTTCAGTTATATGGCAGCTATAGGATATAGTCGGCCGATCCTTATGAAATTTGTCATGTCGTATTATTTTGCCAAAAATAGCTCTCATGTCAAATTTGAACTCTCTAACTCTAAAAACACCAAAGTTATAAGACGGACAGACGGACATGCTCATATCAACTCAGGAGGTGATCCTGATCAAGAATATATATACTTTATAGGGTCGGAGATGTCTCCTTCACTGCGTTGCACACTTTTGGACAAAATTATAATACCCTCTGCAAGGGTATAAAAAGTCTTGCGATATTTTTATGGATTTTTCAATTATTCATAAAATTCCAATCCTACGGTTGCAGTCAATGGGGTGTAATATCCATTATTTTATCGTTTTCCGGCCCTGAGTTCTAAATCAAAATAATGTAAAGAGTTCTTATCTGACAGCGTACACAACAAACATCAATCAAATTTAGCTAATTGCAATATAAAGTACAGCTCGTTAAATGATTAATTCAACTGGTATAGCAAAATAGGTAAGAAGATAAACTATTTCACAAAGAACTACTCAAGAATAACAATGAAGGCAATTTCCGGTCTGTAATTTATTCATATAACATTCATTATACCCTTGCAGAGGGTATTATAATTTTGGTCAAAAGTGTGCAACGCAGTGAAGGAGACATCTCCGACCCTATAAAGTATATATATTCTTGATCAGGATCACCTCCTGAGTTGATATGAGCATGTCCGTCTGTCCGTCTGTCCGTCTGTCTGTCTGTCCGTTTCTACGCGAACTAGTCTCTCAGTTTTAAAGCTATCGTCTTGAAACTTTGCACACACCCTTCTTTCCTTTGCACGCAGTATATAAGTCGGAACGGCCCGGATCGGCCGACTATATCCCATAGCTGCCATATAACTGAACGATCGGAAATGGTATTTGGTAGAAATATCAACTTTCGTATTTTTGAAGATAGAAGTTTGGGACTTTTTTTAGATTTTGTATTGTAATAAATTGGATTATATATTCCTATTCCCATAAGGATCGGCCAACTATATCCGATGTTTGCGATATATATCCGGTTTTAACTGCAAGGGTATATAAACTTCGGCTCCGCCCGAAGTTAGCTTTCCTTTCTTGTTTTGTTTTTACACTAGCCAAATAAAAACAAAAAAAAACTACACCACAAGGCACGCTTTCCCTCGGGTATTTCTGCTGCTTGACTTTTGCTTTAACAATGAAGGCAATTTACGGTCTGTAATTTATTCATATTACATTCATATTCTTTTAACACTAACCAAATAAAAACAAACAAGAAAGCAAAGCTAACTTCGGGCGGAGCCGAAGTTGATATACCCCTGCAGTTAAAACCGGATATATATCGCAAAAATCGGATATAGTTGGCCGATCCTTATGATTACATCATAATAAAACCAATTAATTACAATAAAAAATCTAAAAAAAGTCCCAAGCTTCTATCTTCAAAAATACGAAAGTTGCTATATCTACCAAATACCATTTCCGATCGTTCAGTTATATGGCAGCTATAGGATATAGTCGGCCGATCCGAATGAAATTTGGTAGGTTGGATCAACTGGCCAAAAATAGAATCTGTATTAAGTTTCAGCTTTCTATCTTCAAAAACACGAAAGTTGGGTCATTTCCGATCGTTCAGTTATACGGCAGCTATAAGACATGGTCGGCCGATCCTTATGAAATTTGGCATGTCGTAATGGTTTGCCAAAAATAGCTCTCGTGTCAAATTTGAACTCTCTAACTCTAAAAACACCAAAGTTATACCATTTCCGATCAATCAGTTATATGGCAGCTATAGGATATAGTCGGCCGATCCGGGCCGTTCCGACTTATATACTGCGTGCAAAGGGAAGAAGGGTGTGTGCAAAGTTTCAAGACGATAGCTTCAAAACTGAGAGACTAGTTCGCGTAGAAACGGACAGACAGACAGACGGACAGACAGACGGACAGACGGACATGCTCATATCAACTCAGGAGGTGATCCTGATCAAAAATATATATACTTTATAGGGTCGCAGATGTCTCCTTCACTGCGTTGCACACTTTTGGACAAAATTACAATACCCTCTGCAAGGGTATAAAAATACATTTTATTACACCAATTAAAGGGAGGGACTTCAATTTTTACAACAGTTTATTATTATACTACGACAAATAATGCAGAGCTTCTTACTTAAAAAAAAAAAGGTTCTGAGAAGAAGAAATTCATCGCTTCTGATCGACCATTTTGGCAGAAACAAAAACAAGAATGAATTTCTTGCAGTGAAAAGTTTTCGGCACTCCAACAACAAAATGCATTCGGATTAGCACGATTGAGGAGAATAGGGAAAACACGAAAATTTTGTATTACAATTTCCCCTTTTTATTACAATGGCCAATTGGTAATTAAAGGATAGAGGCAATAACCGAAAATATAAGTTTTTTATTATTGCTTTTATAAAGTAATATAATTTATCTGTTTATAATAATTTGGCATGAAAACATTTTCTGAAAGCTATATATATATATATATATATATTATTGAATACCGATAATACCGATATTGAAGTAATATGGGAGCTACAAGGTATAGTCGGCTGATATTTATGAAACTTGGTGGGTTGTATTGTTTTGCGAAATATAGAATTCATAGCAAATATAATTTCTAGCTCTAAAAACACCAATTAGGTTTGGCATTAGAGTAATGGTTATGGCGGAAAAACAAAGTTTTTCATTTAATTTTTCGTTAAATCAAATGTTTAAATGGGCACTAAAATAGTGAATTCTATGTCTAACTATTGCGCACAAATAATGAAGAAGCAAAAGTTCTTCAACAAATGAAAAACTACGCTTTCCCATCTATATTTTCTATGGAGAAAACTTGTTGCAACCAAATTTCTTAAATTTGGAAAATTTGCCTAAACCAAAACATTTTTCTTTTCTTTTTTAGTTTGGCCTGTTTTGGGCTATGTGCAAAATGGGAACAAATGAGATGGCTTCCGAAAAAATTTGAGAATGCTCACACTATCAGTTTTACGGCAGCGCTGTGGCAGAGTTTCAAGCCCTATCTACGCGAGTAAATTGAGTTTGCCCACCACTGGATTAGTCCATGGTAGGTCCTGCGGGTGGGTCCTGAACAGCCTTCTCGTCTGCTCGCTGTTATCAAGAGGAGAGGCGGCCAACTGGTTCGGCTTTGAATCTCGTCTCCACCCATGGGAAATTGAGGACCTCGTAGATGGTAGCTCATTTCAAACATCTGAATCGTTTTAACGTTCGTCTTACTGGCAGTGGCCCACAGCTGAATTCCATACTTCCATATTGGCCGTATGATGGTTACGAAGAAGTCCGTAGCTTTAATTTTCATGTCAAAGCCTCATGTCGGACTGCTGTCTGTGGGAAGGGGGTTGTCTACCTGTGGGATGGGGGAGCTATTGAGTAGGGTTGTTGGTTTTTAAAAAAATATCGTATTGATGATATTTGCAGTGAAAAAAATATCAATCGATAATATTAAGAAATATCACATAAAAAAATCGATATATCGAGTATTTTTGATATTTTTTATGGTCAGCTTAAATTGAAAAAAGGTTATTTGTAAATTTAAAAAAGGTTTTAATATGTGTTTTCATCCGCCATGAACTGCAAAAAGGAGCTATTTTTTATTTAAAAAGTGAATTTAAAAAACAACAAATATTTATACCCACTCTCAAGCAACTTTTATTTACGTTATTTGAAATAAAAAATAACAAAATTATTAAGGACATTGTATTCAAATTTAATTATAAAAAAACCTAATATAAAAAAAAAGTTTTTTAAAAACTAATTAATTTATGGAATATGTACTAAATAATGCTAATTACCTAATTATCTTATTTAATGCTCCTAATTACTCTTAATTACAAAACAAATCTTTCTTCAATGATTTAAAAAAACTCTTTCGGTTATATGCTGGTCTGTCATTCGACTACGGGAGTCACAGACAATACATTTAATGGCAGAAGCCAACCGTTCAGATGGAACCGTACTTCCAGGCGTGATAAGATAACTTAATGCCAATTTCTGGCTTAAGAGTGACCAAACATAAAATATCGGAAATACCAACTCAAAAATATTATTATCGACTATTTTTGCCCAAAAAATATTCCGATAATAATATTTTTTTAAGAGAAAATATATCGATATATTGATATTTTGATATATTTCCGACATCCTTACTATTGAGGCGGACCGGTGCACTATGGGCCGAAACGACGTTTTTTTTGGCAGAATCTCCAGTTTTAGAGATTCTGGCCTCAAATTTTTCACATACGCTTAAACTATTTTTTTAAAATTTCGAATTTTTTTGTTTTTTAAATTTGACCACGCCTACTTCGGGCGGAAACGCCGTTTTTTTTTGCATAATCTCCAATTTTAGATATATTGGGCTCTAATTTTGCATATATGCTTGTACTATTTTTAGTCGCATTTCGAATTTTATTCTTTTGGAAATTTGACCACGCCTATGGCCGCCGCCTACATCAAGAGTTGGCCTTACTGGCATTTTTACTTCATTATACCCTTGCAGAGGGTATTATAATTTTGGTCAAAAGTGTGCAACGCAGTGAAGGAGACATCTCCGACCCTATAAAGTATATATATTCTTGATCAGGATCACCTCCTGAGTTGATATGAGCATGTCCGTCTGTCCGTCTGTCTGTCTGTCCGTTTCTACGCGAACTAGTCTCTCAGTTTTAAAGCTATCGTCTTGAAACTTTGCACACACCCTTCTTTCCTTTGCACGCAGTATATAAGTCGGAACGGCCCGGATCGGCCGACTATATCCTATAGCTGCCATATAACTGATTGATCGGAAATGGTATAACTTTGGTGTTTTTAGAGTTAGAGAGTTCAAATTTGACATGAGAGCTATTTTTGGCAAAACATTACGTCATGCCAAATTTCATAAAGATCGGCCGACTATATCTTATAGCTGCCATATAACTGAACGATCGGAAATGACCCAACTTTCGTGTTTTTGTAGATAGAAAGCTGGAATTTAATACAAATTCTATTTTTGGTCAGTTGATCCAACCTACCAAATTTCATTAGGATCGGCCGACTATATCCCATAGCTGCCATATAACTGAACGATCGGAAATGGTATTTGGTAGAAATATCAACTTTCGTATTTTTGAAGATAGAAGTTTGGGACTTTTTTTAGATTTTGTATTGTAATAAATTGGATTATATATTCCTATTCCCATAAGGATCGGCCAACTATATCCGATGTTTGCGATATATATCCGGTTTTAACTGCAAGGGTATATGAACTTCGGCTCCGCCCGAAGTTAGCTTTCCTTTCTTGTTTTTATATAAACTTAAGTTTTTTATAAAAAGAACTAAAACTTTTACTAAATATGGTTCTATTAGTTATAATATTTAATTTAAACCTCTAACAGCGTCGTCTTTCCAGTGGCTCTCCCCCCAAACTTCGAGGAGCGCTGCATGAGAGAACTCATAAAACACCTGCAACATGTATTGTTTTTTTGGAAAGGGGCAAAACGGGCAAAGGAAATTATTGACGCCTTAATCTATATATTTTTAAGAAGAACATACCAGTTTTAGTTGCTCGCAGGAGCGAGCGGTAAAAAAGTTACACTCCACAGAACACAGCTACAATTTTTAAATTTTAGTTATAACAAGAAAGGAAAGCTAACTTCGGGCGGAGTCGAAGTTGATATACCCTTGCAGTTAAAACCGGATATATATTGCAAACATTGGATATAGTTGGCCGATTCTTATGATTACATCATAATAAAACCAATAAATTACAATAAAAAATCTAAAAAAAAGTCCCAAACTTCTATCTTCAAAAATACGAAAGTTGATATTTCTACCAAATACCATTTCCGATCGTTCAGTTATATGGCAGCTATAGGATATAGTCGGCCGATTCTAATGAAATTTGTTTGGTTGGATTAACTGAGCAAAAATAGAATATGTACTACGTTTCAGCTTTCTATCTTCAAAAACACGAAAGTTGGGTCAATTTCGATCGTTCAGTTATAAGGCAGCTATAAGATATAGTCGGCCGATCCTTATGAAATTTGGCATGTCGTATTATTTTGCCAAAAGTAGCACTCATGTAAAATTTGAACTCTCTTACTCTAAAACAAGAAAGGAAAGCTAACTTCGGGCGGAGCCGAAGTTGATATACCCTTGCAGTTAAAATCGAATATAGAATAGAATCTGTACCAAGTTCCAGCTGACTCATGTCAAATTTGAGCTCTCTAACTCTTAAAACACCAAAGTTATACCATTTCCGATCAATCAGTTATATGGCAGCTATAGGATATAGTCGGCCGATCCCGGTCGTTCCGACTTATATACTGCGTGCAAAGGAAAGAAGGGTGTGTGCAAAGTTTCAAGACGATAGCTTTAAAACTGAGAGACTAGTTTGCGTAGAAACAGACAGACGGACAGACGGACAGACGGACATGCTCATATCAACTCAGGAGGTGATCCTGATCAAGAATATATATACTTTATAGGGTCGGAGATGTCTCTTTCACTGCGTTGCACACTTTTGGACAAAATTATAATACCCTCTGCAAGGGTATAAAAAATCATCGTACTCTAATTGAAAAAAAATATATATATATATATATTTATATACACAATATAATCATTATTCCCTGGGGAAAGAAAAATATGTAAAAATATTCTTTTTTTTCTGACCGAAAAAATAAAAATCATGAATAATTATTTTGGATTTTTTTTTTTTTGCTTTAAAATATCACTCAGAATTTGATTGCGGTATATTTATTAAATTTTCTGGTCATTTGACTGTATATTGTCTTAGACACATGTTATACAGATACCATTTAGTACAGAGGTGCCCAGCCCCATTGAATATTTTATTTTTTGATTTTCGATGATTCTCATGTTCTTGATATATCTAGAATATCAACGGCTAAGTCGATATAACCATGTCCATCTGTCCATCTGATGATAAACAAAACAACAAGTTAAAATCAAATCATTCTTTTAATTTAACAAGTCTTTATGCTTGTTCATATATTTATATGCTATTTTGTGAAATTATACATATGTATATGAATTTTTGTTTCAAAAAAATATTTTCAACCAAAACTATTAAATTAAACTAACATGTATGATTTTCTATTTCAGTACATTTGGGTTATGCCATCTTCCTCAGCACGATGCGCGCAGTTACCTCGCGCTGCCGATAAAGTTCCATTCTATGCAGCCCTTAAAAAGTTTAGAGATTTTCTAAATGGTGTAATACCTCACATTGATGATTCGGAATGCGTTTTTACGGATCAACGTATTCGCGAGCAGAATCAAACCGAGTCCATCGAAAAAAAAAAGCCCCTCCTTGCCAATAATCAAAAAACTGTTTGTTTAACGGATAATGGTGTGTGCAGTAGGACATCGAGTGATTGTGGAAATGCTCCATCTGGATCAGAAAGTCAAGCCCAATTCTCAAACGCGAAATTTATTCAAGTGAAGACAAACATCGAATCCGTCAGTAGTGCTACCACCAACAGGTCGTTTGGTACAAGTGGGGACAATACCATGGTAAATAATTCTACTTCTAATTCTGCCGTTGGAGACAACTCGTATTTGCCGGTATTTATACAGCAACAGCCACAAGAAAAGAAGAAACGTGGCCGTCCAAAAAAGATAAAAGATCAGGAAATTATTGATCCTACTATTAAAAAAAACAGCTTGTTAGGCCAACAGATGCAACACCATGATATTAATAACATTCTTAATTTGTCGATGATCTCAGGTGGAGACAGTGACGTAGTTCCCAAAAAGAAACGCGGCAGGCCAAAAAAATTAAAACCTACAATTGATAATTTAATTGGAGTGAAACAGATAAAACATCCAAAACCCAATGCAAACTCTAAATCAGTTTGCGTACCTTCAACCGCAGTGCACTCCATTGAACATGTGGCACTATCACCACAAAGCAATCATCAAATGACACCGAGCTTGTATAATACACCGCCACCCTCGCACATACTATATACGGCTTCGGTTTCTCCAATGGCCTCCCCAGCACTCAATTGTAACTATACTCAAGTTCACGGCCACAGAACCCCACCTGTAGGACATTCCTCCAACGTTGCCCAGAGTACTCCGCCCATTGATACACAGCGGGATCAGCCTCCACTAAAACAGACCACTCATCAAAGTTCTCTGAAACATGGAATTGAGTTGCGAGAACAGTCAAACTTGGGAGATACGTCACCACCGAGTTCACCCAACATTTGCGTCAGTGCTGACTTTCATGCGACTGAGAATTCCGAATCACAAGAGTTGCCTGGGAGTCAAAGAAAGGTGCGTCAGCAAATCGCTCATCAAACTGGTGAAAATCTCCCTCATAATTCTGACCTACACTTATCCCATCAGCCGGATAATTATCAGCTATGGTCATCACAATCTCAAAGCCATGAAACGACCCAGTCACTGAGGCAGTTGTCTTATCCTCAAGAGCACTCAGACAACTGGCCTCGATATGAGAATCAGAATTCCAATCCCTACGTGGTGATTTCTGCCCATCACCAGCATTTGAGTCCACGAGTAGCAAATGAGCAACAGCAGATACATTCAGTATCCCTTGGCACAGATATTGCACGTAAAAGCCTGTCTGGGCTGGAGTCACTTGTGGATCAAATTCCTGATATTAGGAACCATGAACCATCGGGTAATTCAGCAGCAGCAATAGATAGTCATTTGGTAGGAATGCAGCAACTCTCACCACAACAAAAACAACATCAAGAGACTTCAGTCCAGGAAGAGTCTTGTATACCTTCGAATGACAATAGAATAAATAACAGTTTGTCCATTACTAGTCTAGTAACATCCGTTTCAAATTCAACATTGGAAAATGATAGTTCTTATAGTGGTAGTTTGCAAGCTGATGGAAATGGAGACACCATAAACAATAACTGTAGTAACACAATGGAATACCCCATTCCTGGTTCTTCAGGATACGCGCATCATGCTCACTTAGTGAATACTACTCTTGGGGCAGCTATTAATAGTTCGGAACCAAATCAACTTACACATCATCCACATCCGCACCCGATTTATATGGACCCCACACATATTTCGAATCACATGTCACATTTGCCTCCAGTTAATGTGAACTCCGTTTACGGGCCAACTGCGTATGGTTCACATCCCCAGCATAACACTGGAGAATATCCAACAGCCCATAGCCACTATAGCCTAGGTAGTCCTGTTCCAGGAGCTGGGCCTGGCAGCACTTCAACTTTGCACATGCCCAGTCCCAATTATCCGTATGGGCACCACCCATATAGTCACCCCCCATCACAAGCAAATTATTCAAACTATACCCATCCGCATTCACACCATAATCACCCTGCTCAACATATAAGTGTTTTTGACCGAATAAAGCCGTCCGACATAGGTGGGTATGGCGGATTTTAGATTTATTAAGAATACTCAGTCTCAAAAGCATTATAAAGCCAATTTCTGGGAATCGCTCAAATTCGTTTTTGTGTCCACCGCATCTCAGCAATATTTATCAATCTCCGGCATTGCCGACTGTACTTTAAGAAACTTCTAGATCTTAAATTTACGATAAGATAACCAAAGACTCGGCCTAATATAATCATTTAAGCGTTAAATAGTTTATCTATGGTATTCTAAAATACGACAACATACGAAACATAACGGAAATATCATTATTAAATATAAATTTGAGTACTTAATTTTTGTTGTCCATTTGTATTTATCTTATGCTAGAATTAATAAAAGGCATTCATCTTGGTTTTATTTTTCTGTTTATGGAGAAAATACAATTTATATTAATAGAATTGTCAACATTATTTAGCTATCCGAAAACAAATATTTAGAAAGCTATGAGTTGAAACATCATACTTTTAACTATTTTCCATTTTGCAAAAGGAAAAAAAGAGAAATTTAATAAATCCTTTTGTGTTTTAACTCTTTCAAAATCAAATGCCTAAATAAAAACCTTAAAAAAATTTAAAAATTAAAAACAATACTCATGATCACAAGATCATTTTTATTAAATGTAATTTATTAAATGAAATTTGTTTAAAATTTTTATACACGTAAATCAAATATTCAATAAGTAACATAAAACAGACTATTTTTGTTATCTAGATAACCTAAAGTCATTTAAACACTAATTGTATCAGAGATTGAGTCCTATGCGTTTCGCAAAAAATTTGCTAATGTAATTTTACTATGCACTGAAATCAAATATAAACATAGTAATCATGTACATAGAGCATTCATACGCTTTTACAACAAAACGGAAGAATATGTATGTATGTTAGTTTGTCCTATCTTAAATAAAAATAAAGTCAGATTTGTGCATGTTGCGAATTTAAAAATATGCATATTTTCAAGAATTGTAATCAGATATATGCATTATAAATAATTTTTATATATTTGATATATTGATTCGCAAATTATTCAATAATAGAATGATAATTATAACTATTACATGTTTCGAAAGGTGCAATCAATAAATGGATATAAAGTAGAAAAGCTATTTGATGAAATTTGCATAAAGTAAATCAATTAATTATGTCATTTTTACAATATAATAAGGTAGGTATTAATCATCATTGAGGCTATCATTGATCATTCAATCAATCATTTAAAAATTTTTAATAGCTTCGTTTCTATAACTACGTAACTATAATTATTTTCAGTAAACTGCGAATTGATAAAAAATCGGAACTATTACCGACCGGATTTACGTTCAAGCTCCCTTTCAATAAGCTTCCGAGTAAGAGAAATACAGGTTGGTAGGTATCCTTCCTGCTCCGTACAGTGCCAGGCTGCTTAACGTGTTTATTGAACTTATCCTCGACTTCCATCACCCTCAAAGTGTCGCTCTTTAGGGTCTTTTGGCGTTTGGCCTAAAATTATAGTTAAATAATTCATTTTTATTTTTTTCTACACTTGCTGGGGGTATTATAATTTTGGTCAAAAGTGTAAAGGAAACATCTCCGACCCTATAAAGTATATATATTCTTGATCAGGATAACATCCTGAGTTAATATGAGTATGTCCGTCTGTCTGTCTGTCTGTTTCTACGGGAACTAGTCCTTCAGTTTTAAAGCTATCGACTTGAAACTTTGCACACACCCTTTTCTTTTCTTTCACGCAGTATATAAGTCGGAACGACTATATCTGCCATATAGCTGCCATATAACTAATTGATCGGTTTATGGTATGGAAATGGTATAACTTTGATGTTTTTAGAGTTCGGATTTCGCATTAGTGCTATTTTTGGCAAAAAACAGACCATATTACATAAGGATCGGCCGACTATATCCTATAGCTGCCATATAATTAAACAATCGGAAATGACCCAAATTTCGTGTTTTTGATTCGTGTACAGATTCAATTTTTCAATTTTTCAGGCCAGAATCGTACATATTCTATTTTTTAATTGAGCCGACCTACTAAATTTATATGCGATCACAACTGCAAGGGTATATCCACTTCGGCTCCGCCCGAAGCTAGCTTTTTTATACCCTTATAATATAATTTATTATAATTTTGGTCAAAAGTGTGCAACGCAGTGAAGGAGAAATCTCCGACCCTATAAAGTTATATATTCTTGATCAGGATCACCTCCTGAGTTGATATGAGCATGTCCGTCTGTCCGTCTGTCCGTCTGTCTGTTTCTACGCAAACTAGTCTCTCAGTTTTAAAGCTATCGACTTGAAACTTTGCACACATCCTTCTTTCCTTTGCACGCAGTATATAAGTCGGAACGGATCGGCGGACTATATCCTATAGCTGCCATATAACTGATTGATCGGAAATGGTATAACTTCTGTGTTTTTTGAGTTAGAGAGTTAAACGACATAAAACGACATGCCAAATTTCGTAAGGATCGGCCGACTATATCCTATAACTGCCATATAACTGAAAGATCGGAAATGACCCAACTTTCGTGTTTTTGAAGGTAGAAAGCTGGAACTTGGTACAGATTATATTTTTGGTCAGTTAGGATCGGCCAACTATATCCAATGTTTGCGGTACATATCCGGTTTTAACTGCAAGGGCTTATAAACTTCGGCTCCGCCCGAAGTTAGCTTTCCTTTCTTGTTAGGAATAAGATTAAGTGTTAGCTACCATAAATACATGGTAGCAAAATGCCTCGTTTTTTTGTTATTTTTTTAAATTATTATTTTTTTCCACAACAGCGGAGGTTGTACATTAAGTATCTGCTCTCGCGCAGTCGGCCGGCTCTCTCACTCTCTTCCCAGCCAGTTCGTATGGTAATGTATTGTCGCCGCGTATCGCTTGACTTGACCGCTTATATCGAGACCGGTAAACTCGAAAATTTTAGGACATGAATGGCTAAGGCTAAAACTAACAAAGGAAGGAAGTTTTTTCAATAAACAAAAAATGGGAAAAACAGCGTTTTTTTATAATTAAAAAAAATTTTTTTTTAACATTTTTCACTACTTTCAGTTTACGCCATTGCAATGGCAATGCATTGCTACGACACACATCAAATTAATGACGTTGGACCATGCTGGTCTGCGACATTGCATCGCTTAGGGACTTAGGGACTCGTTCCGACCATGTCCGTTGCATTGAAACTTGAAATTGTGCGATATAGGAGCATCAGCTATTTGGCCATCGCAACAACAAACAGGTACAAACAGGTCAGAAACAGGCTAGCGCTCAGCTGAGCCGGAGAAAAAACCCTCGCAGCGTCTGTCCCACATTGGGCGGCTGCGAGGTCTGCGTCTGTACCAAAGAGGTCGGCAGCTTAGACACCTGGCAGCAGGTATAAAATGCGCAACCCCCCCCAATTTTGGAATGTCGTCGAAAAACGAAATTACTCCAGGTGGCAGCCACAGAAGTGGAAATCCACCCGTGGGAGAGACCACGGCTAGGGCAAGGATTCTGGAGGCCCTAAACAACATCCCAATCATACCTGACAAGGCGGTGCCTCACTTGGCCGCCCTGGAAAGGAACACTACAAGTGCAGAAGAGCTAAAGAGTGCCAAAACGGGTGACCCGTTCAAAAAGAGCAACAAAATGCGGCGCTCGCCGCTATTCGCGCCACAGGCTGGCAGCTCAGCCGGCACTGGCAGCCCAGCAGCGGTAGAGAAGGAAACGCCACAAAAGCCACGGGAGATGCTTAGCCCGGACAAGGACCAGAGGGCGGCTCCCCCGAAGAAAAATAAGGCTGTCAGCCCACCGGCAAAAATCGAAGAATGCCTGACGGAGCTGGGCACGATAGTGAACGAGCTCGTGGGTCACAGAAAAAAATAAGAGGCATATTTCCGCAATGCAAAGGAGCCTGATAACCAGATTGAAGGACATCCACTCCATTCTGGTCGGAAGTGTTCCGGAGGAGCATGCGCGACCGGCCATCATGCCCAAGCCAGTGTCCCCCAGATGCGAGAGGGCCGGCATCGATACCGCGGAGAAGGAGCAGCAGACCCTTCCGACGGAGGTCTGGATCCAGGACCAGGCTGTGCAGACCGGCAGCATCCCTAACAGCACGGGCCCCAAGAGTGCACACCGGGACTCGGGGGCCAAAGTAGCAACGGCCAACACGGCGGCAAGGCCCAAGCCAGCAGTTGCAAACCCGGCTGCCGACAAAGGAAGCGACGGCGAAGCAAGCAGGAGAACGTCTGAATGGACGAAGGCCAAGCCTAGAAATCCCGAGAGGAGACGAGCCAGACCCGACGCCATAGTAATCCAAGCAGCAGGTATGACGTACAGTCAGATCCTAAGCATGGTAACTCGCAGGGAGGACGGGAAGCTAGACGACCTTGGCCCTTGCGTCAAGAAAGTGAGGAAGACAGCCAAGGGCGGACTGCTACTGGAATTGGCCAGGAAGAAGGAGAGCTCCACACAGGCCCTCAAAGGTTGCATCGAGGAGGTCCTAGGGAGCAAGGCAGAGGTGCGGGCGTACTCGGAGGAGACCAAGGAGTCACTCGTCGAGCTAAGAGGACTCGACGCACTAGCTACTTCAGAGGACATCATCGGGGCTATCGCGCAGCAGGCAGCGGTGGACCAAGGCGCCTTAAAAGTAAAAAAGCTGAGAAGCAGTTATGGCGAGTCGCAGACCTCGCAGAGGACTGGCTCAGACAACCGCTGGGCAGTTGACCTATCGGGGAAGGCCGCCATCTGGAGCTGCGGCGCAACCGGCGCGACAATGCACTCAGTGCATAGTGCGGAGGGATTTGTAAGGGCTCGGATAGATGGGGCATGGCTGTACAGCTGCTACATGGCACCTAGCCTAACCACCATTGAGTTTGAGCGCATGATGGACTGCCTAGGAAATGACATCAGAGGCCATTCTGACGTCCTTCTAGCAGGGGACTTCAACGCATGGGCGCAGGACTGGGGCTGCCCGAGAACGAATGCGAGAGGGAAAGTGGTCAGAAAAGCCTTTGCCTCACTCGATCTCGTCCTGCTGAACGAAGGAAACCAGCACACCTTCAGCAGAGCCGGAGCAGGATCCATCATTGACCTGACGTTCGGGAGCCCCTCGCTAGCGACGGTCGCTAACTGGAGGATAAGCGGCAGCTTTACGGCAAGCGGGCAAGCAATAGCGGGAACCAGGTGGAAAGGTGGCTCCAAGCAATACTGCCTGATAGTCACCCTGGACATCAGGAACGCCTTCAACACGGCGGACTGGAGCAAAACACTGGCAGCCCTAAGGCGGTTCAACGTTCCCAGTGCCATAATGAACGTTGTCAGTAGCTACTTTAGCTGCAGAGTGCTACTGGTCGACACGGACATGGGCACGGAGTCCTACGACGTTACGGCGGGTGTGCCCCAAGGATCGGTCCTAGGACCGCTGCTGTGGAACGCCATGTACGACGGAATCCTGAGGCTGCAGCTCCCAGCGGGATGCGACGTCGTCGGCTTCGCAGACAATGGAGTTGTGGCTCCAAAATGCCGGTCTAAGCCTAGCCCCGCAAAAGACCGAAGCGGTGCTGGTCAGCAGCCGCAA